TATTTCACATGCCCAAATGATACCTCGTGTCCCTACACATTGATATCTTCTAAAATATTATTCAGTCTCTATTTTCCCAATTTCTTCCCTTAATGCCTCAAACTCTATACTCTCAACATGGTAATGAAGCTATACCATCTTTTGTGACTTGTCCTACCTTTATTCCATTGCTAAGCTTCATAGGAGCTGGAACTATTTTTAGTCACCCCTTGCCATGTCATCCTTCTGGCATCATGTTCAGCAGTTTCTTTCTCCATATGCTGTTGTTTCACCGTTAGCCGGCATTGTTCCACTTCTGGCTGCTCTATGGCATTGTTTTTGACTGGCAACCACACAATTAAGATTACCCAAGCCAGATGCGTGCACATCCAGTATCCTGGCAGTCTTCCTCCCTCACTGCTTCTGTCTGACCACTGTCTGCCACTTTTCAGCCACTGTTACTATATTTTAGTATTTGTTTTGATATTTCTTTATTATCTCATGATTTATTTCTCTATTTAGTTAGGATTATAATTCATTATAAATAAGGGTTAGTGTTTTTATGTTTTGTATGATATTGCAATACATCACAATACTCAACAAAATATTACCCAGCATCTATTTTCTCAATTTCATCCTTCAATACCTTAAACCCGATAAATTCTACATTATAATATGTAGTGTACTGATATTGTTCAATGTTAACCATTTTCTACTCCGCAACATTTTAGTCTTTTAGCTTTATAGTCTGTTTGCATGCATTCTATGTGCATATGTTGTATGTCCATATGCTTTGTTCGCACTTACAATAAAAAAGGTTCCTACATATGTCCAAGGCCTGAGCATAGACTAACCTTTTGTATTTAGCTATAGCATGTAGTACCTATTGAGAATTGGGATGAGGTTTGTGATGTTATCCTTTTTTTCAAGTGATAGCATGTTCATTTAAAGTTATTTTTATGAAGTTGATGGTGTTAATGGTTCATAATGGGGTTTTGCCTTGACAACCCAGTTTTTTTTCAATCGGCCTCGGTGCAGTACACTGATGGGACATGGTTCATATAGTCTCAATTCTCAAAATTGGAGAAAGGGAGAAAAACCAAGAGTAGCTAAAATCTTAGTTTTTAGTTTTATTAATGATTTCTTGTAGTGTTATTTATATTTCTGTTACGGCATTTAGTTTTGTTTCTTCAACTATTTAACAACTATGCACTGAAAGTTCTCTTTCCATGTTTCTTAATACTAGTGGGGTTGAGGTACTCTATGCTTATATATTTGTTTAAAAATCTTTAAAAATTATCGATGTTTGTTGAATCAACTTGTGTTGCACTTAGTCCTCAAATCTCAATGTCTTGGATTTGAGTTTTGGGTTTGTGAGAATAATTAATTTTCAATATTATTATTTTTATTTAAAAATTCAAGGGTAAAGTAGTCCAAAAATTGTGTACATGAAAACAGGGAATCACTTTGTTAAATGTGTTTAAAAATTACTAATGGTTGTTGAATCAACTGGTGTTTGTGTCTAGCCCTCAAATCTCAAGGTTTTAGGTTGAGTCTTGAGTTTGTAAGAATAGTTAATTTTCAATGTTGTTTTTTATTAAAATTAAGGAAAAAATAGTCTAAAAATTCTGTATACGAAAACAAAGAATCGCATTTATATATAGGTATAAATAAGGACTACCATGATTGTGATTTGACTCTGGTTATAATCCTTCGATGTGCACTACGTGTGATGCAGGAAGTTGTTAATAGGAGATGCGCAGGGAGCTTTGACATCACAGATTCCTGAGTCATTGAGAAAGGATTTGATTGAGCGACTCCGATCGTTTAGCCAAGAAAAAGTACATTTTTAAGGACCTTGATCAGAGCATGGTATGAGGTGATCTATTATTTTATTAAATGGGTTTTCCGTTCTATAAGCCTTTAACTCTGGTTTGATAGTTTCTATTTCATTTTCAAAATTGTTGCAGCATGTTGATCTGTCTTGCTAATTATTGAGGCGTGGTGTGTATACTCTGTATTACTAATTATTTTAGTGATGGTGGTACCCTTACTGGCATGTCAGTTCGGGTTTGTTACATACTAACTCTTTGAGCTAGTGCTGGCGATAGTAGCAGGAGAATGTGGAGACTTGTTATCATTGAAGCATGGCTTGGTTATGCTTCTAGGTGCTTCATGCATATTTGAGCTAGAAGTTCAGATTTCATGTCTTGCCCTAGGTTTAGTTTCTCCGTGGAGGTTACGAAGTTCTATTCAATCTTGAGGAGAGCTTGTCAGGAATTCTATTCATTCTGTACAATCTATTTTAGTCATGTATTGGAGCAAATTCTTCATTTCTATAAAATTGCTCAACAAATTTTGCAGCGAGGATGAGGCTGTGCATGACTTGTGGATATATGATGCTATCAACAATGACTGTACTTTCCGGTATTTAAAAAAAAAAATCATTTGCTACTAACTTTTTTCTCCTATACCCTAAATCCTAAACACGTGCAACCAAGTAATTTGGTTAAAAAATAGCTTTCAAGATGTTTAAAAAAATCAAGCAATTCTACACCGTTGTGGAAGCTGCAAATAATTTGATATATAAAATGATTGATCATTTTGGTCTTGAAAGATTTAGATCAGTCGCATTACTTACTAAAAGATAAAATTTAAGTGTGAAAAAAGACTGAACATAATTGTTAATGGGAAAAAAAACAAGTCAATTTTTTTAAATGTTTCAGTTAATTAAATTATTTTTAATGTTTTGGTTTGATTAAAAAAAAAAAAAGTTATACCAGTATAAGTTGGATAATCTAATACCATTTTTAAAAAATGCTTCTTGAAAAAAATTAAACTAGTCGACTTAATTAAAAAAATTCATTTGATCGAATTACTTTTATAAAAAGATCCAATTCAGTGTGGTATATATATATATATATATAAATAAAATAGTATATGGCCCTAAAAAATATATTCGTCTTGAAAGATGTAAAGGTCAAGAACATGAGTTTTGTGGATGGAATAGATGCGAAAGAAACGCAACAACTTGATATTTTAGGAGCGAAGGGTGATTATTATTTTTGAATTAATGGAAATTATTTAAAATTTAGATGTCGAAAAGGTATTTTATATCTAAGTGGTATTTGTCTTGGAACTGTAAAAGTAAAAATAGGCTGATGATTTTACAATCATACTTTGTTAATGGCGATTGCGGATTAATGAAGTGTAAAACACATTAACGTTAGTTTATATATTATGTTTGTCTAAATGAACTTTTACTGGTTTGGTATATGGAGTTATGACACATGAATAACTTTATTTCTTATTAAGCAACGCTTTAATTAAGTTTTATGGTTAAAAAAGGTTTATAAGTGTGTTCTTTATCATAGCAAAGTGGGACCAAATTGAGAACTTTATCAAGCATATGGTAGGACTTAGTAATACTTGTTAATGTAAAATAAACACAAGTTTCATTTGAGAAATCATTGGTAAAAAAATAATTGATAACCTTGTGTAGCATTTTAGCTCTCTCTATATGTGCATAACGATTTTAAAAAGTTTTAACTTATTTCATGAAATCATTGTAGCAGTGACATTCTGTGGTGGTTCAGATGTTGGTAAAGGACAATTTACCATTGGATCTTCTTGAGGAACACTTTCCACATCTATTTCTAAATTACTAGGCAAATCTTCAACACCTGCTGCATGCATATGGCTTCTCATGGTTTCCTCACTCATGTTCTGTTTGAAACTAGCCATAACAGCCTGTTAAATCAACTGAGGTTCAGAGTTGGTACATATTTCATATGTAATATTTAAACAAAATCCAATCTTAATTTCATATATACATAATATGGACACTATAGCAAGCATTTTATATTCAACTAATTAGTAAATGGATACTAGAAACTTCTTACATGCATAGGGCCAGCTGCCATGAGCCTTCCTAATATTCAAAATAAAAAAAGATTATTTATACATACAAAATCATGACACAGAAAAAAGTAAAAAGAAAAGAATTAAAAAAGTACTACATAAAATACATATGAAATGAAGAAAATCAATGGTGGTGGATTTTTACCTTTAGCAGTTCATTCCATGATTTTCTCCTTTTCCTTAACCATTTCCTTCTTTTCTATCTTATCTGATCCCCTCTCTCTCTCTTTTCAAAAATTCAAAGATTTTATCTTATTAAGACTCGTGTAGAAAAGAGACAGTTCTGTGTTTTCTTCAAAAAATAAAAAAGGAGCGTGTTCAATTTTAAGAAAAAAAAAATGAAATAGAAAATGAGTAATAATTGATTGTGCATTTTTTTTTTCCTTTTTACAATGTACGGTGGGAGTATGTAGTAGTATTAAAAATCCAAGTGTAATGGTTCACTAAATTGAATAGAAAAAAATATTGGATATAAAATATATTTTTTTATAAGTTAATTTATATTTTTAACTTTTTATCTTATTAATTAATTTTTTTGTCTTTTATTTTTAAAATATTTATTTTAATTCTTTATTTCTTAAATTTAGATTAGTTTGATATTTTAAAATTATTATTGTTTTCAATTTTGAGCTCTGATTTTGGATTTTTTTTTACTAATTCAAGTTTTAAAAATTTTCTTATTAAATTCACTTATATGAAAACTTTTAGATTCAACTAAAATTCGAATATAAAGGTTACAAACATGAAAAAAATTGCATAAAAATAAATTCAAAAGGCAATAAAAAATTCAAAAATATATAATTTCATAATATTTTTTAGTTGCTTGAGACATTTTTCACATAATTTTTACTATGTTTATAGTCTTTTAAATTTGAACATCAATTAAATTACATAATTTTTATATAGTTGAATTTAATATTACAAGTTTCACATTTTGAATAAGTCAAAAATTGATTCAGAATTTTGACACAAAATTAAAAAATTATTATTATTTTAGAATGACCAAATTATTCTAAATATAAAAGATAAATGATTAAAATGAACATTTTAATAGATAAAGGATTAAAATGAATCTTAAAATAAATGACTAAAACTATAATTTAATCTTTTATATAATTATTCATCTCCTTTATACAATAATATAATATAATCATTAATGAAAAAGATTTCTTATCTCTATATATTTATTTTAAAATTAAAAATAAAATTAAAAAATTGACGAGATTAATTAACAAGAGACTTATATCACTTAACTAAGTAATTAGATTCTAATTTTCATTTTTATAAATATAAAAAATTTAAGTTAGTAGGAAACATTTGTCAATAAAAAAGTTAAACAATAAAAAAATAAAAAATAGATGTTAGATAATGGATGATTTGTACTTGGAGATCGAATAATTTAAAGTAATTATAGTAATATAGTAGTTCAAACAAAAGTGAAAACTTAAAAAAATTAGTTACACAAACTCGGGATAAGAGGCTTGATTAGTATGGATAAGAGTATGATAATATTTGATAATTAGGTCCTGACCATCTGAAATAGACTTAAAGCAAGAATCACACAATTAATATAAATTTAGAATAATTATTTAATTACTTAAACTTATGTTAAGTAAAGAGGAAAGAAAATGAGGGAAAAGAAGAGAAGGGTAGAAAAATAGATAGAAATAAAAGTGTTTGGTAAAGAAAAAATAAAAGAGAAATAGAGTGATTTTTTTTATATAAATAACTTTATTTAAAAATAATAAGTAAAAACTACTACTATTATTATTAATATATTTATTTATTATTATTATTATATTATTATTATTATTATTATTATTATTGTACCTGTTTGAATGACACACTAGTAAATTTCTCGTATTCTGAAGGCCGAACGAGAGCTCTAAACGAATATTCCGGTGAGAGGGAGGGTACTTGCAAAAGGCACTCCGACGCTCAAGTCAGTACAAGCACATAAATCGATAATAATTAATGAACAGTGACGTTACCTTGAGACACGAGCTATTTATAGTGACATTAATGGGTCCTGTCCACCATGGGCCCGATACTAGGATTTCCAGATTAGGTAATACGTCCCTAATTGTCTTATCTGAGTGATTACCCCTTAATCCTTGATTAGGAATAACTACTAACTTAATGACGTATTTGTCTTCGGCTTCGATTTGGCTGACCAGGTGTCGGTTACCTGGTACAATCAATTGTCGAGTCATTCCTTCGACTACATCGTTCGGCTACACCATTCGATTTTTCATACCGAATGGTGTGGCTGAAAGGTATTACCTGTACAATTATTATTATTGGAAGTTATTATTTTTAAAACAAATAAATAAATATAATAAAATATCAAATTAAAATTATTTATTTTTAAAATTATATATATATAAACACAATTTCCACACACTTGCCTTCATTTTAGAAGGAAAATTTTCATTATAGGATTCACCAAAACTTTCCTTCATTTTTCTTTAAGTCTCTTTCACTAAACACAATCAATTTTTTCTATTTCTCTACACTTTTCTACGTTTTTTTTTCCTTCACTTCCCTCTACCAAACAAACTCTTAAGTAACATCATCAAATATGTTGGAATTTTCACCCATTCATTACACAGTATACAACTCTTCAAAACAAAGAGGCCAAGTCTTTCTTTTCTTGATCACATTATATCTTCCAAATATTCTTGATTTTTTCAATAGAGTAAACATAGTAAACAGTTCTATGTCTTGACAAACAAGAGACCTAATAACACTGTTTATTAACCCTAATAACACCACCTATTATGGGCTAAATTTTAATTATGCTTATATTGCATGTCTCTCACACATATCTGTATTAGGTTGAAAAACCAATTAACATTTGATCACATTAATATTATTAGTAAACTTAATTAATCATCAAATAGATTATAATATTAATTAACTCATTTTCAATAAAAATCAAGTCACAATTGAGAATTTTCTAGGAAAATTCTAACATAACAAACACAAGTTATATAAAATGACAAACACAAGTAAAACCACACGTAAAAAAAAAAAAAAAAAAAAAAAAAAAAAAAAAAAAAAAAAA